AGCGCCACAAATAAATAAATGTATGGGAAACACATCCCACAGCACAACCACCTGAGCCCAACTTCAGTCTACTCATCACCTTAACTTTAACTGCGTTTGTAGCCGGCGCCATAGCCAGACTGATAAACAAACACAGACCGGAAGTTAACTTCGGGCCAGGCGCGTGCGCCCGATGAAACCGTCTATATAAGGCTAAATCTCCAAGAACAAGACTGAGTGTCCTTGTTCTTTAATGTAGTTGATGCTACAATAGACATACTGTTTAATATATCTGTCTACCACACAGGGGCCACTGAAGGGTTTCCTGGAAGTGCTCGGGAAGCTTCAGAAGAGATTCTACGCTAAAGGCCACCGTATGGACTGTCCCATCCGCACCTACCTCGTGACGGCCCGCAGCGCAGCCAGCTCAGGCATCCGTGCCTTAAAGACTCTCCGTGCCTGGGGACTGGATATGGACGAGGCTCTTTTCCTGGCCGGGGCACCAAAAGGCCCCATGCTGGAGAAAATCCGGCCCCACATCTACTTTGATGACCAGATGTTTCACGTGGAGGGTGCTGTAGAGATGGGTGCCATTGCCGCCCATGTGCCCTATGGGATTGCACAGAAATACCTTCATAAAAAAAGCACCAATGCAGGAAAATAACAAAGACGAATGGGGAAAATATAAAGAGGACCTTTATGTTCTTATTTTGGAAGCGACGTTCAAGTTGCAGATATCTTTATTTTGTAAACTCGGTTGTGCACTCATTGGATCAGGACCTCAGCATTCTCGTGGCCTTTTTCTGTGACCTATGCAAGGACACACACAATATTTAACCAGCTAAAGATTCAACCCAGTATTGTTCTTCTGCACTGCCTCAACGTCAGTAATTCTGTACATGACTTTTGAAAAATTAATTATGAATGAAAGCACTGCAATGAATGGTCATTTTCATCTAAGCATACGTTTCTCAGCGATGGTTTGTCGAAATATACATGACATCAACCTACTGTTAAAATGGAATGTGCGCTGCTATTCATATATGTAAAGTGAATATGTAAAGTGACAAAGGAGAAGGAGTGATACTGAAATGGTGTTTACACAGTGTGTGTTTTGAACCGCACTGTATAATTCAGCAATGGACTTTGAAGGGTATTCTTGTTTATTGCTGTAGATGGTGTTGTGTTAGCAAAACTACAGTATTCTTTTATGTAATCTAACGTATATGGTCGTCTATAATGGAAGGAGTGTTAGTCTGTAATGTAATGTTCGATATTGATAAGAAGCCATAATATTTTACATGAGAAGATGAAACACTCAGAATCTATAGAAAGCCACGAGTAGGGAATGATATATTTCATCTTTACACTGTACTTTTTTGTTTTTCTCATCTGCATTCAATATACACTACTGTTTAAAAGTTTAGTAATTAGAGTTAGTAATATATTTTGAAAGAAAATAATAATGTTATTAAGCAAGGATGCATTAGTTTCCACAAAAATATTAAGCAGCACGAATGTTTTCAATATTGATAATAATCAATGTTTCTTGAGCAGCAAATCGGCATATTAGAATAATTTCTGAAGGATCATGTGACACTGAATACTGGAGTAATGATGCTGAAAATTTAGCTTTGCATCACAGGAATAAATTACATTTTAAAATAAATTACAATAGAAAACTGTTTTTTTTGTATTGTAATAATATTTCACAATATTATGTTTGAATGTATTTTTGATCAAATAAATGCAGCCTTGATGAGCATAAAAGACTTCTTTCAAAAACATTAAAATATCTTACTAACTCCAAACTTTTGAATGATGGTGTAAATAGTGGATTAGCCTAAAAAACTGGCAAAGTCTGATCCACCTGTGTCCACAGGGCTCAAATAAAAACATGCATACTTATATGTACTTAGCTATTCTCAGCCAAGACAATTTGACATGGTTGGTAATGGAAATTAATGTATGTGAAAGGGAATGTAAAAGGGAAAGAAGTGGTCACTGGTCACATATATCGACAGATGTCATCCAAAGGAAAAAAAAATCCCTTACTAGTTAATTTGTAGAAACAAAACAGATAAACCGTGCAATATTTCTATTGAGCTTCATTACCTGCCACTCTTTCTCTGCAGATACACTTGTCATGCAGTTAATGTCATTTCTTGTTTACACCTAATCCTTGGCTTGGCATCTAGCACACAAATAAAAGCTATCATCATTATGCTTCAATCCAGAATTGTCTCTGCTTTAGGGTAGTGAAGACATTATTTCCTGCTTATTATTCACATGTTTCCTGTGCCTTGTCTTCCTGTGCTGTTTAGTAATGTTTTGCAGCATCTGTCCTACAAACATTATTAGAACAAATTGCGTTGACATCAATGTTTAGTCTGCCTCTTTAAATTAATCCACCTCTCATTGTTAAATCTACACAAAATGTGACAGACTAGCTGTCGTCTCCATAAATGTTCATTTACAGAGATGTGCCACTGTACAGTTACTCTAATATGGACTGAGAATGTCAATATTATGAAGGACAAAACATATATAATGCAATAATTATGATTTAATTAAAAAAGATACAGTGTATGTATGTGATTTGAGGTATATTCAGGCAAACTATGCTACATTTGGACAATTATGATGGCTGTCAAAAGAGAGCCCAATTTCCGGTGTTATCCTATTTGTAGTCACAATAATGAAACACATTCTAACCAAGACTAGTTAATTTTGCCAAACAATATTTTACAGCCATTCTAAGGAAATTACCTAATAACTTTTAATGCCATTTCTTAAATTATCAGCTAATGTCATGAATACAGATAAAGATAGTCAAAGACATTTCCAACACTGAATACACCTTCTACTCATTAAACTGTACAATGTAGAAATAAAGTCATTAACTCAGAGAAGCAAACATCATTTCAGCTTTCATTGTGCTCTTTATAATCATAACTGCAACTAATGGACATGGAGAACGTATTGTTCTCTTAAACTTTACATACAGAATACAGGACGTTCTGTTCTGACCGAATGAAGAGGTTTTAATGATTTTTGCTTTTAGAAACTAATGTGAAAATCTACCTTGATACAAAAGGAAACATTTCAAGGAGTGCAGAATTTTATGAGGACACAGAACTTTGTGCAACGTGGCACAAAAAAGTCTTATCAGTTTCACTGTCAGCATATTTCCCCTGTAAATGCTGTGTAGACAAAAGAGTAATTGCATAATAGTCCTTCAGCTGTTTCTTGTTCAGTATAAAGAATAAAATGTTTTATAAAATTACAATATGTTTTCGCAATCCTGGCATGCACCTCCTCAGCATTACATTAGGTGGCAGCAATGCTTTATGTGATCCTCATCTACTGCAGAAGATCTAGAAGCTGAAGACCTCAAAACATTATTAATGCTACCATAATATCAAAATAAATCTCTTCAAACATTGATGAATAAGGAGCATTTATATACTATAGACGTTTATTATTTTGTGTGTCATCCTACCTATATAATGTATAATGTTTATATAATGTCTAAAAACAGGACTAAATTTGTCAGTGTCCAAGCACTTGTTAAGCTCAGTGAGGTTTTGAAACTAAAAAGAGAAGAAATGAATGCTTTCTCTGTTCATCATTGCTGCTGGTGCCAATTACCCAGAAGCCTCACCAAACTGCAGGCGCAGATAAACTAGAGGGCTATTAAGCAACTGTGCCTCTGAGGTGCCATCGTGGTAATGAGGCCATCGTTGTCCACCCCATGTGTAGAGATTGATCAGAGATCGTTTCCATTTTATTACTTCGGAGAAGTGCTGGGGAGGGACTTCTGCCATCTGGCTGACTTTATTAATACACTGTTCTCAAACACTCTGCAAATAAGCAAATGAAAGTCTGCTGCTAAACAGAATGTCAATAAAATGGTCATTTGAAACTGACTGATTAATAAAACCAATTCAGGATGCATTTTAACAACACCTTCATTTCAATTGCAAAGCTGGACTTGAATGTTCAAATGAAATATTAAAGGAACAGTTCCACCAAAAATGAAAATTTGCTGAAAATGTATATTGTCAGGTCATCCAAACTGTACATGGATTTGTTTCTTCATCGGAACAGATTTGGGGAAATTTAGCATTACATCACTTGCTCACTAATGGGTCCTCTGCAGTGAATGGGTGCCGTCAGAATGAGTCCAAACTGCTGATAAAAACATCTCAATAATAAAAAAAACACGAGTCCAGTTCATCATAGTCATCTTGCATGTTTGTAAGAAATAAAGCCATGGATACAGATGGATACAGATAAAGATGTAGTCAAAGATATTTCCAGTACTGAATAAACCAGTCCAAAACAGTTCTAAACAAATATGTGGGTGGATTTGGATGTGAGAGGACAACAGAGGATGAACTTTTTCACTGAAGCAACATCTTGATAGAGTCATCTTGTGGATTATTGCGATGTTTTTATCAGCTGTTTGGACTCATTCTGACGGCACCCATTCACTGCAGAGGACCCATTAGTGAGCAAGTGATGTAATGCTAAATTTCTCCAAATCTGTTCTGATGAAGAAATAAACTCATCTACATCTTGGATGACCTGAGGGTGAGTACATTTTCATCAAATGATCATTTTTGGGTGAACTATTCCTTTAACAAAAGGTAGAATTGCTGTTGCATAATTTTCCATTCTTCTGACAAATTTAAATGAATGAGGATGCATGTTGTAAACAATTTGCCGATAGAGGCACTTCAAACTGATTATGTGTGATAAAGCTCACAGAAACTGAATTCTGCCTGCAAATCGATGGTGATGCTGAAACTGTTTTGTTTGCTTGGGGAAAACCATGCTGTTATGCACTCAGGAAAATAAATTCATAACACTTTTACTTCCTTCCTGTAGTTCTGCAGTTGGTTCATTGTGCACTGGCTTGATAAGCATCTCACAGAGTGGAACATTACAAGTCGAGGCAAATTTGTGGTTTTTGATATGCCTGTTTTGTCAGAGACACATTAAAATTGCATTTTATGTTGAAATAATGAGCATGGAATTTTTTAGAATAACCTTAGGTCAGCATGCACACAAATCCAAACAAACTGAAGCTCACTAGATACTTTTGACAGCTGCTCTGTTTTGACATTTGCCAGGCTTGGCTAATTAAAGTGGCTGTAAATCTGCACAATGCAGGCATAAAAGCATTTCTTTAGTCACAACAAGATGTTCTGTATACATTTGGCAGTTTGTATGTGTTGTACTTGCACCATTATATCCTGTAGTATTAGGCTGAACCAGCTGTGATCTGATGGGTGGAAGATTATGACCGATTTATTACGAGCTAGTGAGCTGAAGCCACATCTAAACCTGGTGCAGACAGATGGAGAAAAGTGCCGTGAACTCATATGATCTGCCTGCCACAATGCAGGGTCACCCTCTCGCTCAGCACAGCCTCGCTTCAGTTAATCATGCAGTCTCCACTGCTGATGTGCCTATATGTATTCAGACCAATGTTTTAGCAAATATATTCCACAGGAAAACATCTTCTCATCAGATAGGCTGCAGCAGGTTCTGTATACACCTAATGTTTAATATCCTGTCTAAAATCGATAGTCTCATGGCCCTTTGATGGTAGCCAATGAATTGGCATTTGTGGCAATGAGGTAATAGTGAGGTAATTTCCAGACTTTGAACTAATAACAATAATTAGACTCTATCAACAGCTGCGGGAATTCATTAGAGGGAAATGTGGGAGATTGGACGGGGTATGGCCCCGGGGAGTTAATCATCATTATAATCCAGTGCCACAACTGACCACAGAATTGCACTGTCAATTTTTGCCCTATTCTTTATGATTTTCTCCACATGAGCATATGCCATCATAAAATTACAGATAAATAATTACAAATAAACATAAAATGTAAACAAAAATGTGTTCAAAACAGGTGCCACTTGTTAATATTATTTTCATGCATACTGTAGATCTCTGTTATCAGAGATTTGGCAGCAGGAAGGCAACTTTGCAATTTTCCAAATTACAAGCTACTCATTTTTAAGCTCTATGAGAGCAGTGAATGGGAGAGTATCACAATTTTTAAATTTTTTTTGCATTCCCATTTGCTCAAATAGCAAAAGAAAAACTCCACGACAGTGTTTTCACGACTTTCAAAAAAAAAAAAGGAAAGAAAAATTGAGAGAGACTGCATAACGGCAGTCAGAAGAGATGTCAAATTTACCATCCCTCCCATAGACGCTGCATTAGAAAAACCCTCGTGCCACGTAAACATAAAACCATGTCTGCATTTGTGATCAGAGAAATGACAAAAAAACAAATGCTACTCTACACTGCTCAAAACTTGTGTTTGAATCATCAGTGGCAAATTCTTTAAATATGAAAACGTACTTACAGT